TATCCAGGGTCCAGACCCACACTGTACTAATCTGGACCCACCTCCAGGTCATGGCACTGATAGCTCTCCTAAAAGGGTAATGCTAACATGCCCATTAGTACACACTAGGTGCAGGCAGGCAGGTCAGCACGTTATGCAGGCAAGGACTGTGTTTGAGGACAAAAATAGATTAAAAAAAAAAACCCAACACCACATACACACACTTCCTGTGAGAGACATGGCTTTCATAATAGGTACCGCACACAAATGCTGAGGCAACAATCAGAGAATGAACCAGCAGAGGCCACACGGCACTGCAAACACTTAGAAGCTTCAGTTCTGGGAAATTTCCACTTTCTCTTTGGTACCATGAATTCCCTCTTTTCCAAACACTGAGACAAGAGCCCATGCCTTTTGTTTCATAAGCAAGTATTTTCTCCGTGTTCCACACCTGGGTTTATGATGCTCCCCGGAAAATGTCACCATTTCCATAGTACCACACGAGCAGTAAAATCAGTCGGAGGGCGCTGGAAACACTCATGTGGGTCTCTTGCACTCTGCAACAAGGGTAAATCGTGGAATGTGTTTGAAGAATGATGCTGTACTGTCTTCCTAAAAGGGGACCTACCTTTTGACTTAGCGATCACATATCTAGGAATTTACTTTCTACAGAGAGATACTCACACATCATATATACATCACTGCAACATTAATTTTAGCAACAACAACAACAGAAAACACTGCACACTACTTAATGTCATTTAAATAAATCATGATACATTCATGCTATGGAAAGTGGCAGCCCTGCAGAAGATGTCACTAGTACACTTATAAATAAAGCCAGTTCCAAAGCTGCGTGCACTGTAGGCCCCAGCTGTGCATTTGGTGTGATGAGCAGAGTATCCCCGGGGATCCCCCTGGGAAGTGGATGGTAAATGGGATGAAGTAGGAAGGAACACTAACTTTTTACCTTCTATGGTTTTATACTGCTTGAACTGTGTTTGCTGGAAGCACATATTTATACAATAATGAATGTTAAAAAGCAGGGATTAGGAAGGCAGTGTTCACTGTCAAATCCAGCCACAGACAAGTGGTAAAAGCTGTCACATGGCCTTGATTTGCTCTTGTAGGAAAATTAGATCAGAAGTTCTGGAAAAGTTCCAAGTTGGACTTGCAGAAGCGTGTCCTGTGCCTGCACCCACATCTGCTGGGCTTCCCTCTGGGCACCTGTCAGTGAGGGCCCCACCTTGTGATGACGAAAGAAGCAACCCTGCCTCTGGTGGGCCCCAGCTCTGGGGCAGGTTTTGCCACTGATCTGTCATGTGTCATGGCCAGCCGCAGCCTCTGTGATCTCATTCGTCACATCTCACTGTGATACAGAGGACAACGGGAGTTCACCCCCACCCCACTCCGGACGCAGGCAGGCAGACAGAACAAAGCAGAAAGGAGCTGCATGGCACCAATAGAGGGTTGCAAAGACATGTTTGTTTTTACAGAGTCACCTGTAAGGTGACCCAAGAGACCACCACCCTCCTAAGGACTCCAGTTTAGAGCAGTGCTATATAAAAGAAGCTACTGTGCTGATGCCGACATTGTTCTTCATCTGCACTGCCCAAAAGGGCAGCTGCTGGCCACATGTGACTACTGAGCATTTGGAATGTGGTTAGCATAACAGAATCTTTCACTTTATTACTTTTGACTGACTTGAATGTTTTTACACGGATGGCCCCATGTGACTAGCAGCTTCCCTAGTGGACAACACTGCCCTAGACTCTAGTTCTTCACTGCCCATGGTCAAAAATCTCATGGCCCTGGAACCCTCCTCCACCTGAGTCAGTCTCCTCGATTTGGAGTTAGAAATCCCTTCCTGGCCTGCTCCACACCAGTGATAAAGAACCTATTCCCCAAGTACCTCCCCATGGTCATCAGGCCACCTCTCCCCCACCAAGGTTATTCTCCAGGTCCCCAAGTTTCTGGACACCCAGGGCCAGCCAGCCCACCCAGAGTTGTATCCACAGTTCTCTTCTCTAGGGCATGCATAGCCTTGGAGAGGCTGGAGGTGGAAAAACCCTGGACAGACATAGAGAGAGGCTCAACCCCAGCTGGTGGGCAAGAAGGTCAAGAGCATGCAGCTGGGGCTAACCAGAGCCTCAGGGGACATGAGGTGTAACTGCATGAAAAGAATGTGGTCTGCTTCTCACTCGGCAACACAGTCACAGCTACAGATTCTAATATGAGTCAGATTAATTCTAGAACACTGAACTCTACATACAAGATGGAATTGCAAGGGAAGTGTGAAAACCCATGATTTCACGATTATGGAGCCGGGGGCAGGGAGTGACCTGCATCCACCTCGGAGGGCCCTGAAGGGGACTACCAACCCTGGGAAAAACAGGGCTCAGATCACACACTGCAAATTCAGGGAAATAAAAAATAAAATACAAGAGCTCTGGCCGGTGGGGCCTGGTTAGTTGGAGAGTCATCCTATACACCAAAAAGGCTGCGGGTTTGCTTCCCAGTCAGAGCACAACCCAGGTTGTGGGTTCAGTCCCTGGTCGGGCTGAGTGCTGGAGGCAACTGATCAATGTTTCTCTCTCCCTCAGTTGAGGATAATACAAATAAAAAGAAGTACAAGAAAATATCTCCCCATGCTTTCAGACTTTCACCTTTCAGGTGTTATATTAGCCACACGTATTATCCCTTGTGGCTGTTTTCATGTAGGTCATGTCTGACTGTCCCACGTGGCTGTTTGTGTGGCCAAGAGCCCCAAATTGCAACCTTGGAGTAATAGCCTCCCACCATGTGGGTCAGCACCCTACTTGTAATTACAATAGTTTGGGAATACGGAATACATTCACACATCAGACAAAACTGGCCTTCCAAAAGCCACTTACAACTCCATCCAATATTCTTATCTATTTTTCCCTCCAGATGGGACTTTCAGAATAGTTTTGTCAAATTAAGGGAGGAAAATTCCACTGAAATTTTGGCTGGAAGAATAATAAACCCTTAAGAGAACTTAGGAATAACTATTATTTTATCTATAATATTCAATCTTTCTTCTCCTGGAGCACAGTATTTCCTTCTTCAAATTTTGCCTTATACCACCCTCAGCCAAGCTGCTATGTGGGTTCCCACAGGCATAAAGTTAAGTCTTCCTTCTAACAAGGTTCTCTATTACCTGCAAATTAGGACCATTTTGTCTTCCTTTCTATATTATCATCACATTTTGTTTCATGCCTTATCTCAGATGTCTAAAGCCATAGTGGTAATAATGACCACAGGACACTGGAAGCTCTATTCTAACACACCTGATGTTGGAAAGCCAGAAAACAGGCCTGTTCTCAGCAATATACCTGTCTTCGAATCTCAAATGCCCTTGTAGCTGTGTCAGGTGGAAAACCACCTTAAACAAGCGCAGTGTGCGCTCCCTCCAGCCTGTGCTGGCAGGACTGAGGCCCTTCGGTTTTCAAGGGCCTGAGAAGTTGACCTGACCTATGGGGCCAGGTGATGGTCTCTGATCCTCAGAGGAGCCCAAAGCTACTCACAGAGGATGGGAGCCCTCCCAGCCCATGAAGTTGGAGGTAGAAGCCAGAGAAACGGTAATGTAGCTTCACTAAGGTACAAGAAAGGGAAACCCAGCTAAAAAACAGAGGATCCAAAAAACAAAACAAAAACAACAGAGAATCCTGTGCTACATAACATAGGTCCAAACATTTTAGATCCCATAAGATGCCTCATCAATGCCCTAGCCAGTTTGGCTCAGTTGATAGAGTGTCAGTCTGGAGACTGAAGGGTCTCAGGTTCAATTCCAGGCTGGGGCACGTACCTCAGTTGCAGGCTCAATTCCCAGCCCTGGTCGGGGCATGTGCAGAAAGCAACCAATTGACTTATCTCTGTCACATGGCTGTTTCTTTCCCTCCCTCCCTTCCACTCTCTCTAAAAATCAATGGAAAAATATCCTAGGGTGAGGATTAACAACAACAAAAAAAGATGCCTCATCAAGACAAATGCAATTAATTTTCCAAATCAACTAAGAAAACATAAAACTACTGGTATTCTAGCAAATGAGTGATGAACATGAAACAGAGCTCATCGGCCCAATTTCCATATTAATATGAAACAAAGTAATAGGAAACTACTGTTCTATATTATTTTATATATACATAAAATGCTCCATTAAATAACTGGGACAAGCCTTAGCTGGTTTGGCTCAGTGGACAGAAGGTCAGCCTGAGGGCTAAAGGGTATTAGGCTCGATTCCAGTCAAGGGCACATGCCTGGTTGTGAGCTCGATCCCCAGTGGGGGGTGTGTAGGAGGCAGCCGATCAATGATTCTCTCGCATCAATGATGTTTCTATCTCTCTCCCCCTCTCACTCACTGAAATCAATAAAAAATTATAATGGGAACGGGGGTAGGGAGGACAGGACACTGGGGGTGAGGGGTTGGAGGGGTAAATACTACTGCTCCCTGAAAACATTACCCTACCATTATTCCCTCAACAAACACATATAAATGAATAAAGGTATGCTAAAATACCAGGTGAGGTACACAACAGAACAGGCTCACAAAAGGCAGTCAGACATTTAAGAAAGATTTGCTGTCCCTTGACTCAGGCTCTCACATGACTTGCTCTAGCTAATAAGATGCTGGTCTGAAATGTGCCCTTTTATAGCTCTGTCATAAGCATGAGAAGGGCCTCTGCCCTGAGAGTCCTTGAGTCTCAGCCTGGGCCCCAGAATGAACACATGTGGAAGAGACTTACAGAAAGGAGCCAAACCCAGAGTGAACAGAGCCACTCAGCAGAGCCAACCCAGATCAGTCAACCTCTAGCCAATCCAGCAGAAGTATGAGCAAGAATAAATGACAGCTGGTGTAAATCACTGAAATCTGAAATGTTTGTTATGCAGCCTTGTTGTGGCAATAGCTAACTGATAAGATGGCTTCCCCAAAGGAAATCCATAAGCCATTCAAAGATAGCATTTTCCTCCAAGTTCATAAAGAAATCAAAGCTACTTACCAGGCTCACCTTTCTTCTTTGAACCAGACTTCTTCTTTGCAGGAGCCTCTTGCTTTGGTGCCTCCTGGCTCTGAACCATATCTGCCTTTTTGCCCTGGTTAGGAGCTGACTCTGCCTTTTTACCCTGATTGGCAGATGCATCCACCTTTTTGACCTGGTTGGGGGACCCTTCTGACTTTTTGCCCTGGTTTGGGGTTCCCTCTGCCTTCTTGCCTTGGTTGGAGGGCCCATCTGCTTTTTTCCCTTGGTTTGCAGTACCCTCCACCTTTGTGCCCTGATTAGCAACTGAATCCGCCTTTTTACCCTGATTCTGGGCCCCCTCTGCCTTTTTGCCCTGATTCTGGGCCCCTTCTGCCTTTTTGCCCTGGTTCTGGGCCCCCTCTGCCTTTTTGCCCTGATTCTGGCTCCCCTCTGCCTTTTTGCCCTGATTCTGGGCCCCCTCTGCCTTTTTGCCCTGATTCTGGGCCCCTTCTGCCTTTTTGCCCTGATTCTGGGCCCCCTCCACCTTTTGGCCCTGATTCTGGGCCCCCTCTCCCTTTTTGCCCTGGTTCTGGGCCCCATCTGCCTTTTTGCCCTGGTTCTGGGCCCCATCTGCCTTTTTGCCCTGGTTCTGGCCCCCCTCCACCTTTTGGCCCTGATTCTGGGCCCCCTCTCCCTTTTTGCCCTGGTTGGGAGCCCCCTCTGCCTTTCTGCCCTGATTTTGGGCCCCCTCTCCCTTTTTGCCCTGGTTGGGAGCCCCCTCTGCCTTTTTACCTTGGTTGGAGGTGCCTTCTGCCTTTTTACCCTGGTTCTGGGTTCCCTCTGCCTTTTTGCCTTGGTTCTGGGCTCCCTCTGCCTTTTTGCCTTGGTTCTGGGCTCCCTCTGCCTTTTTGCCTTGGTTCTGGGCTCCCTCTGCCTTTTTGCCTTGGTTCTGGGCTCCCTCTGCCTTTTTGCCCTGGTTGGGAGTTCCCTCAACCTTTTTGCTCTGATTCTGAACAACTTCTGCCTTTTTGCCCTGGTCTGGGGACCCCTCCTGTTTTTTGCCCTGGTTGGGGGCTCCTTCTGCCTTTTTGCCCTGATTGGGGGCCCCCTCTGCCTTTTTACCCTGGTTGGAGGTTCCTTCGGCCTTTTTGCCCTGGTTCTGGGCCCCCTCTGCCTTTTTGCCCTGGTTCTGGACCCCCTCTGCCTTTTTGCCCTGGTTCTGGGTTCCCTCTGCCTTTTTGCCCTGGTTCTGGGTCCCCTCTGCCTTTTTGCCCTGGTTCTGGATCCCCTCTGCCTTTTTGCCCTGGTTCTGAGCCCCCTCTGCCTTTTTGCCCTGGTTGGGAGTTCCCTCTGCCTTTTTGCCCTGGTTCTGTGGCCCCTCTGCCTTTTTGCCCTGGTTGGGAGTTCCCTCTGCCTTTTTGCCCTGGTTCTGGGTCCCTTCTGCCTTTTTGCCCTGCATAGCACCAGTGGCCTTGGAGCCCACTGGAGGCACAACCACCATGGGCACCTCCTTAGGAGCAGTTTCCAAGATGGCAGCCTTTGAGGCCAGAACCTGGATAGAATTCACTACAGAACTGACTGCTGGTTCCACTTTTGCTACTTTTTTCTCTTTCTTCTTTTTGTCCTTAGGGGAGGAGGCCAGCTTCTCTTGGGGCATGGCTGGTACCGTGGCTATAGGGGTAATGACCACAGAGGGTTGGACCGGGGTTGGAGCCACAGCCATTGCAGGTGCCCGTACTGGGTCTTTGAGGAGGATGGTCATGTTTGGGGCTGGCTCATGGTCAGGTATCTTCCCGTTGGGTTTCTCATCCTTTTTCTTGGTCTTTCCTTTCTTCTCTATCGTTTTCTCCTTCTTTTTCTTCTCTACTTTCTGGTGATAAGTTTTTGCCATCTCCTTGCGCTGGTTGGCTAGAGCTTCTTCATATGACGTCTCCTTCATGGAGAAGGTTGACACCAGGAAGATGCCAATGGCAGAAACAACCATAAATCCACCAAAGACCACAACCCCCAAGGTTTGAGTGTCGTAAATGTCCATTCTGGCTTATTTTCCGTTCACCTGCCAAACACATACACATAGATTACTTTTTGCAGAAACTGAGGTATTCAGTTTCCATCCCTAACCCCCACCACCAACTTAAGGTTTCACTAATTCTTCAGACTGATAAAGTCAATGAAGAAACAAATCCAGGCAATCTCTGATGCCATACACTCTTACCTTTCTCTCCGTAAAAGAGAGCAATTTCTAAGCAAGATATGAGCAGTCCCTTTCAGTGCTGGCAGATACAAAGCACTAAGGAGATGGCAGACTGAAGGTCTGTACTTAGGGCAGGCCTCCATCACAATTCAAGATATTCCCCACTGGAGGAGTTAAAGATGCACATGAGCACGAGCACAGGCCAGGTGTGTAACAATCAGGAGTGGTGAGGACTGTGGCAAAAATGCTCCACTAAATTAGGAGCTGTCAACCAGCTATAAATGATTGTTATAGAAATGTAAACAAGCACTTGCCAAGAGAGCTTTTGCTTTTTCACATTAGGTCAGAAATCTTTTTTACACAATGTGAAATAGACAAATTGGAAAAATACCACGTGAGCCTGACATAGTAGGCAGTTAAGACAGACATGAGCAGAGCGGGAATTTGATAAGCCAGGTACAGAAGGTCACCAGGGTGGAAAGCCCTGGGAGCTTACCAATGGACAACTGTAAGGTTGGATCTCGTCCCCAGGGTGACCTTTCCTCCCCTAGCATATCGCTGGCCACGCAATTCAGACCCCCTGATCTTCCATACCGCTGGTCATCCTGTGGTTCGGACCCTCCCCTGACCTTTCCTCCCCTGTCACATCACTAGTCATGTGGTAGACCTCCTGTACAGGAGGAACAAGGGGGCTGGAAAAAAGCCTCTACTGCTCCCAAACAAGCCCTTGCACCATCACTCTCTTAAGCATTAAGTCCCAAGACAGTGAGGTTCTGACCTACATCAAATAATCTTAGGAACCAAGGTCTGTTGACCACTAAGACAGAGTTTTAGTCAAACTAGAGATAACATCGAGGCTTCAGCTGTGTTTCACCTCCAGGCCCAGAAAAGCAGCAAGACCAAACCAGGCCGGGTGACACCAAGGCTGACGTCAGGACTAGCTATGGGAAGTAAGGATCCCCTGCCCTGGTACAGACCAATCAGTGGAGACCATGACCCTGAGCAGACACTCCTGGAAAGCTGGGTATCTGATGAATATTCTATTGAGATCCTCCTCTGAGACTTCTAGTTAAAAACCCTTAATATGGGAGGTTGGGGGCGGGGGGAGGGGGGGTGGGGAATCTCTTTCCCTCTCTCTCTCTCTCTCTTCCTAAATCCACACAGCTTAGCTGGATCACATTTTCATAGCCCACTTCTCTACCTCTGACTTTCTAAATAAACTTTCACCTGTATTTCAGTCTTAGCTCTGAATTTTTTCCTAGCCAAACTCAAGGACCCAGGTCTAACACCTGGCGCCGTTCGCAGTTAACATGCCAACACTTCTGCAGTCTTTCAGCTGCATACATTCTGGCCTGGAGGCCCCAGGTGTGCCATCTCTACTGTCACCTCTTTCCCCCGTGTTGATAAACAAAACTACCCAAGGGTCAGGAATGAAAACCTTTTTATTACAATCCTAAAAAGTGACCAAGAATTTCGTGAGTAAAAAATGGTCTGTTGCCAGTGATAGCTGCTGAAAAGTTATGGAAACTGCAACTCACAGGAAAACAGGGGGTGTATCAGTCTTGGGAAGTCCACCAAATATAAGACTCCAGGTTTGGAATTTCACAGCCAGAGGCTGCAAAGGAAGGAGGACAGTATCACCAGGCTCAATCCTTGCCCTGGGGAGGGGCCCTTTGCCTGGGAAACACTCCAAACCAGAGGATGAACCACTCCTTCTCACTGCCCGTGGACCAAAGTCCAAAGAGTCAGATGTATCCTGGTCCACACTTTACTGACTGACAGTCCAGGCCAGATTCAACTTCAGTGAGAAACTCCAAAAGTTTTACTTACTTGAATACACTCAACTTTCATCAACTAATTTTCATGTTATTATCACATTCCCATCCCCCTGGAGTGAAAAACAGCCTAGCCCCTTCAGATGATCAAAAATGGAATTCGAGAACAGAATGTAAGTATAAGATGATGGGTAAAGGAAAGTGGAAAGGGGGCAAAGAGAGAGGAGCAGGAGAGGTGAACCACCCTCCCCTGCATATCCCCCCTCCCAAAATCTCTAGACACAGCGTCCAGGCCGGGTCCAGGCTTGCCATTGGCTTAGAAGTTGAGATTCCTCTTCCAGTGGGAGTGAGAAAGAGAAACAGAGTAGGAATTTCTAAACAATAATGAAATCTAAATTTTGACTATAGGGCATATAAAAGAAGGAACTAAGGAGACTGTTTTAAATGTCTCAGCATTATGTTGTAAGAAAAATCAGTCATCGCAAAACAAGCACACTACTGCATCGTGCCTTTCTAATAAAACCCTTGCAGGAAGAGGGTTTAATGCTCTTCTGACAGGAACTTCACATATGTGCTTTCCATGGTGGTAACTCAGTCAGCTGCAGCTATGATACTGCTCCCAGCTTATCACCCTGGGTCTACAGAACCAAGTCAAAGTCTTCATTCCGGTTGGAACTTCTGCAAATGAAGTCTGAGGTATGCTCATGGAAACTTAGACCTGGACAAGCAGATTCTCACCTCTGGCCATGGGTTCTGACAGCATGATCCACACACAGCCAGGGCGCCCTCATTGACTAGTATGATAGTCAAGAGGCTGCCCCAGATTAATCCTTCCAGGAACACACTTACAAGCTAAGTGTTGAAAAGGAAACTGCCCTGCTTAGCCCTGAAGGGATCCACAGGGTGGGAAGGCAGAGACAAGAAGGCCTGCAATATTGTATGGTCAACCTCCATTTCTTGGTGAGTGAGCATCTCCAACTGAAACTCCACGTCCTCACAAAGACCTCTCAGAACTTCACTAATGTGGACACAACTCAGGTACAAAAACTATATTATCATCCCTATACTCGGTCTATTCAGACGACAAAATTCCTGTAAAACACCCCCCTTCTCCAGAGGCAGCACAACAACAGGGGCCTGAGTCACCCTATCGAGTCTCCATAAGCTGCAAGCGGCTTCCCAACAACTCTGCGCTTGAGGGGTGGTCTCCCGCGACGCTGCAGGTTCACCAGCTACTATAAAGCGGGCCTGTCCAGCCGACCACTGTGGGGCCTCTGCAGCCTGTGGTTTAGGCAGAAAAGCCAAAGTTGAAAATTAGCCTTGAATCTTACTCAAGTTAGGCAAACATGGGCTACAAAAATATATTCTCTGTCCAGAGCTCAGAATCGAGAAAGGCCAGCTTGGGAGAGTATTTCCCTTGGCAGTACACACAAGTGTATGTTTGATAGCAGCGCAAATGTGTCTTCCCAACTTATGCATAATGGGTTGCTCTAAAAAGGAATTACATCCCCACCACTAATTCCTAGGTTAGAATTTTTTCAAAAGAAATCTTTCAGAGAAAAATAAAAAGCCCTAGTCTTAAGGAGTAATACACTAAAACATTTAAGGCTAAGATCGTATCACCACAAACAGCAAAGAAATCTAAGTGAAAGCCAGCCTTCCTGCTGCTCTGCAGGGTCAGCTTGGGTGGGAACATCATGGGAAACCTCTGATTCACAGGAATGATAAAGCCAGTGATGCCTCACAATGTGCTCTCAAGATCATCATTCAGGGTGCTTTGCTTCTGAAATCCCCACTGGATTTTCCATAGGCCATGCCCAGGTTGGTAGAGAAGGTGCATGCCCGCCATATATCCTGTATGGGCTGACCACAAAGCACCTATGTTCTGTTAATTCTGAAATACAGTATGTATTTTTACTTACTATTGCTAGTACATTTAAGAGTGTTAAGTAGAAAGGTGAAGGCCCCATGATGGAAGGAAGCAGGAAGCGACCCAGAGGCTTGGGGATCACTCCCAAGCTCAGCTGGCTGAAACTCACTGGCCTACCTGGAGGGTCCTGAGAGAATGGCTTTCCTTCTGTTCCCAGGGGGGTAAGGATTTAGGGAACAAAAGAAAGTTAAAACTCCAAATTCTTCATACATGGAATATATCTAAGTCATGTAGCCAGACAAGTCTAGTCCGGTTTGGCCAATTCAGTCCAATTTGGCAATTGGGATGAGGTAGGCTTTATAAAAGAACCCTCAACAGCACCCCAGAGCTCGGTCTCATCACTAACGAACGAGCTATTCTGCCATGGGCCACATGAGGGCTCTCAGAAAAACCATGGGGCAGGAGGTGTCACAGAGAACAAGTCCCCAGATAGATTTCCTGGGCACAAGATTACCCACCAGTAAGGCACAAAACTAAAACAGAATGACAACGAAATAGAGTCCCTTACATATACGGTTGTATCAGGATCACCATCTAATATACAAAAGATTAAGAAAAATATCATGAACATCCATTTATCTACCACCCTACTGCCTCTGATAAAGGTTTATCAGATCCAAACATTTTACCACATTTATTTCTGATTTTTATAGATTTTTTTTAAAATCCTCACCCAAAGACATGCTTTTATTGGTTTGAGAGAGAGAGGAAAGGAGAGGGAGAGAAAGAAAGAGAAACATCAATCTGAGAGTGAAACATCGACAGGTTGTCTCCCACACGTGCCCTGACCAGGAATAGAACAGACTCACGCTGGCCAGGGCTACTTCAGATATTTTTAAAACTCTCGGCCTGGCCAGCGAGGCTCAGTGGTTGAGCGTCATCGACCTATGAACCAGGAGGTCACGGTTTGATTCACAGTCAGGGCACATGCTTGAGTTGCAGGCTCGATCCCCAGTATGGGGCATGCAAGAAGCAGCTAATCAATGATTCTCTCTTATCATTAATGTTTCTATCTCGCTCTCTCTCTTTTCCCTTCCTCTCTGAAATAAATAAAAATATATTTTAAAATAAAAATAAAACTCTCTCTCAGCACCTGGAATGTAGCATGTGCATACATATTTATGCTTACATTACAAACATATGTCTCAACAAATAAA